ATTCATATTACAGGGTAGAGAGTAGTAGCGTGCATGTGAAAGTAACATGTTAGTTGTCAACTAGCCCAACACTAGCTTGATTTGGAAACTAATACATTTACAAGGTCACTTTGCCTCCCACCACATCTCCCACCATGCCTCCCAGTAACAAGTGGCCACCACATGCCTCACAATAACAAGTGGATTATACTTATTGATAAATGAGTTAGCTATCAAGGTTCAGTTCCTGACCTACACAGGCCATGTATAACAATCTAGAAAGCACTTACCATAAAAACTGGACTCTATGCTCAAGGTGAACCGTTAAGTAGTCTGCAAAACCAGGGGGGGGGGTATCCCTTCCATGGGCTCCCAAGGGTATGGTTTTTCAGCCGTTTTGGTCATAAATAGGGTATCAAATTTTTGGTCAGGTCATAAATAGGGTAGCGAAAATTGCAGATTTTGGTCATAAATAGGGCAAGGGTTTTCGATGGTGGGCAGCACACTCTCACCCAACTTTTCTGGGAGTACCCACCCCAGGAAAACCAGATGGTTTTTCAACTGCTGTTTCATGCTGCCAAAGTATTTTTTAATTGCTGTGAAACAACAGCTGGAAATCTGTCTTTGTTGCAAAGCTAAATGTCACAACAACCCCTTGACAGTAGTCTAGATATACAAGCATCACATCAGGTTGGGGTGCAGTACTACAAGCAACAGCATGCTATGGAAGCTGGAATAAGCTCTGGTGGGATGGGTCACTTTGTCCAGGGTGCTCAACTGAACCATTCACCTATTAAACCTAAGTAGATTTTGAATATTGCTTACTTTCTTTCACATTGAACAGCTGATTGCCAGCACCGTCATCCACAGAAAAGTCCATGCGACCCCACCAGGCTAGACATGAGAAATCAAACAACCACGTACTTAGTAAAATTTTTTTTGATATAGAATTATTATCAAGGTGAACCATGTTATGCTTGGGTCCCAGAAGGTAATTTTTTTGCACGATCTGTGAGCGGTAAAGCCGTGATACTGAACCATGACAGACACTGTTATGGCGAGGTAAAAAAAAATCATCTACCTGGCACCCAGGCTAACCTTATTTTTGCACCAAATATAAAACTTTTATAGCTCACCAAAAAGATGACTGAAAAAGCACAGAGTGATTGCAAGCAATCAATGGGTTGAACTTTCAAGGGTGCCATGCATTCCTCTGCCAAATTTAATTTTCACCCTTCCTTAATCAAAATCACAAAAAAACTAATCAAAATAATTGGTTTTCAGGCCATCACTGATGCCTTTGTATTTGCACTCTGATGCATAAAGTGGTTTAAGTAGGCATATAATTAAATTTGCCAAATATTACACAATACATAATTTTTTACCGTAATTGTTTTCCCAGCACAACAGTGCATAAAATGACAATGAGTTGTGAATTTAAAACTACATGCGTCCAGCAGCCTGTTTGCATCTAATACTTAGCCAATTCATGAGTTGTTCACATCTTATCTCGTTCATGACTTCTGATTTTCACAAAAGTAAACTGCATTTGACTTTGAGACCGATAAAAGTTAAAATACTTCACTTCACAATGTGTCAGTCTTGCAAACAAAACAAATTTGACTTTGAACAATACAGGATATAAATTGCCTTGAAATAAGAACAAAACAGATATAAATGATTATAATATGCTAAATATTATGGTTTTTTTCTCAAAGTTCTGTGGCCCAGTTGCTAGATATCAATGTTTGCAATGTAATTCTACTTTTGGGAATTTTATATCACACAAACAATTTCGATTTTTTTTTCCTGGTGAACTTCCCATCACTCAAACGGCAATCATTGTATCAGTACTAAAGAGGAATTATATGATTGGCTTGTGGGGCAGTCCAAATCTTAACACCAGGTACTTAACGCTGTTTATTTTGAAAAAAAAGATGTTTTGACGTAAACCTCACTTTCAGACGATGAAATTAAACTGAATTCAATAACAACTGAACGACTTATTTGTCCATTTTATGTGTCTTAATTTTAATTTTCGACAAATTTGAATAACAAGGAACCATTCACTGATGATACGAACCTCAAGTGGTTCCAAGTTAACCAAGCGCCTGAAAGACTGCTTAGAAATGTTTATCTCAATGTAGACACTTCACATTACAAGCAGAAGGCAGTCTAGTATATTATACGTTACGCTGTATTATCTGTCCCATGTATAATTACATAAACCGTGCAAAACAAAATCGGTCACGATTATTTCAGGAATTTTCCTTTTTTTCTCATCCGCACTCAGCGCCTTAACCCACAGACTGAATGAAAACAACGCCAAAATGTTCAAGTACAAACAAGCCAGTTGACGGTGTAAATTGGCAGCGTGTTGGCAACAACCTAAATTCTCAAGTGTTAAAAGAATTGTCATTTTGATGTATCCTGTTACACGCTGGTCACGAATGCCCCTTTGATTCACTGTCTTTGAAGATCATGATGACCGAAATTTGTTGTAATTAAGGCAGCAAGCGAGTAAAATTGACGTCCAAAATAAGGCGACTTGGAAAAGTACAAGGTTTTCTT